TTATACAATTATTTTTCCTTGAAAATAAAGAGAACTTAGCATTTTATGACTCACATTGCCGTTATTGCATGTAACTTGATTCAAGGAGAGAGCGTGGTTAAAATTAAGAAGGTCTTTTGGAGCTCTTCGTCATGTTACTAGGTAACCCCACTGACGTTTACCGCGGGTTCAGAGACCAGAGGCAGCCTCGTTTTCAGGATTTTTCAATTGTCAGTGGAAGGGAAAATTAAAAAGAGGCGCCCTGGCAGCGAGGAGTGCGTTTAATTTTCGAGGGTTTAAAAATTGTGCTTGTTGGTTCGCACATTAACTAGTCTTTCGACTTTCAATAAACCACTGCATTCATCCAATACTGTACGGGAGTTAGCCTGGGCTTAAGTAATATGAAGCGAACAGGCGCGTCACATGGTCCCAAGTACTGTGCAACCTAGCCAGCAAAACAGGCGGCTATTTAGCGGGGCAGAGTGTCGAAAGCGTTAAACGACCGCGAAACGCTGGAGTGAGCGCAGACCGCGAGAATGGAACAACGGGGTTTTTTGTGTGACATTTAGCAACGTTGACGCTCTTTGTGCTCGTATATCATGCTTCGCACTCTTCCTTGCTAAACCATTTCTGCGGGAAAAGGCCCAAATGACAATCAATCGGTGCTTTTTTATACGTCTAATCTAATATATATGGTAATTTCATACCTTGATCTCTTTCAGAGTTATTGTGAAAGCTGTTTGTCGGTGTCGAGAATAATGTCAAATAGCTTATTTTGTTTGTAAACAAGCCAAGATAAGAGTTTTACGTTGTAGAACTCAAGTGCTTGCTCTTATTCACAAGTCCCAGATGGCAAAATACTCTAAAAGACAAAAACCAAAAAATTATTCATACTCAGCTTTCAAATTAAAACGAGGGGGTCGGATTTACTGACGGAATATGATGGAAACGTCGTTTTAAAATGCAATCATTAAAATACTTATTTATCTCTTACAAGTTGAAGGTGCTTCGCATTTCATTGCAATTTAATTTAGGAAAATTTTTTCTAACAAATTTATTTGCCTATGGGCATGTGGCTTTGTGCCAGTACTAAATGTGACCTCAGTCAAGTTTTTTTCAAATCCTCAAGGATCGAAATGATACTAACATGAGGCGAATATCACGAATCAGTACAAAAAAAAAACGCAGACAGAATGAGCAGAAATCAACGTGATACATTTACCTGCCGAATGTAAAGATAGGAATTCACTAATCTCAATGTTGCCGATGACCGGGCCGATGACTACAGTATAACATTAAGTTTCATTTTCAACTTTCATTTCTGTACATGCTTAGCATATGTTACTAGCATGCAGTTTACAAGAAGAAAGATGTTTTGAGCACAATGTACAATGCCCCTCAGTAGGCAATTCTGAAGCTCCAAAACGGTGATAACTCTACGGGTTGCATGCAATGCTCATAGCATAATCATCGCACTTTTGCTCATAGACAGGGCATATAAAAGCATGCATACATTTTTTTTCGACTTCGGGTGGGATCCCTTTGCCCTGCCGGGTAAACATAACCGCTTATAAGACCCCGTTCACACTGGCTACGCCGGAGAAATTTGAAAAAGCAACTATCAACGGTCATTTTGGATGTGTTTGAGGAAAACTCAGGAAGGGAAATCACATGATTATGGTGACGTCATCGTTTTCCGTTTTCGTGACGGATTACTTTGGTTTACCTAACCGTGAAAATAAAGCTCATCATTTTTAAATTTCTCCGGCGTAATGAGAAGGGGGCCTAAGTTAACATGAAAAAGATGTTACCAAGGGATCGTAACATCATCAAATGAATGTAAAATAAAACTGACTGAAAAGCATAATACATATTCTGAAGAACATTATGAATGACTCGTTAAGAAGTGTTTACATTATACATCCCTTGTTGTCCAAAAAACCACGGGCAGAATATCCGCAATTGAATTGAGGCCAGCTTACAGCTGATTGACTGCTTTATTTGCGTGTTAGAAGCTTGTGACAGGGTGCCAAATGAAAATTCCTGTTACTTGAGAACAAACGAGTTTTAAAAATGCCTAATCAAGTCGAGAAGCCTCTCACTGTCGCGAACGAACAATAACATCTTTACTCATTGAATTTGGGCATTTCCCAATTACGCCTACAGCTGGCACGCAAGGACTTTTACAGACTGCCTTATTCATATCGACATAGTTTAATTTGAAAACCTGTGGCCTGGACGTGGTTAAAATGTTCAGGGCGTCCGTTACAAGACGATGGCAGAAAACTGCAAAGAGTGCAGTGCAAGCAGGCTCGACAGATGCAACCAGAAGCAAAGACACTGACTCGACCCGCCAGGAACATCCATCTTCAGTGCAGTGGGCGATTGATCTTCACAGAACGTCCCAGAGAAAGCGTTATTCCGAAGGTCAGCTACAGTTCGACAAGGCATTGAGGAAGCTGGCCGAAGTTTCAACTATATTAGAAAGATCGGCAACACTGGAGAGAGGTTTCGAGAAAGATTTAAGGACCATCCAAGCTAAACTCCAGATCGGTATTAATGTGCGTGAGGACGCTGAAAAAAAACGAACCAAACAAGACTGATTAGAGGAAAAACTGACAGCATAGCAAAACATTGCTTATGACTATGATTAGCAGTGTCAGTTGGTGATGTCCGGCTAATAGTTTTTGTGTAATTAATCAACATTGAGTGAGATACGAGTGTTATTGAGGTCCTCACAAGCCTTGAATCACCACAGTTTTATCACATAGGTTAACACATCAGTAACTAAAACCTTTGTTGTGTAGTGAGCCGATCACAGGGTAAGTTTTGTCGATCGGAAACAGACGATGTGAAAATGATATGGAGGTCATCAGCACATTGCAATGAAAGTATATATAATTTATGCCGATAAATATAACATAACCAAGAATCCCAATAGCAGGGGGCTTAATCATAAGCATAAGCAATAACACAGGCACAGTAGAGTGCTGCTGCGTAACACCATTTTTTAGAGAAATTTATCTAACAAAAAATGATTATCGACATCTTTTGGCGCCCTAGTATGTCGGCTTATGCTTATCATGGAGTTGTTGTTTTTATGCATGTCGTTTATACCCGAGGATAAACTAGCCTTACTTCACAAAGAAAATGCACGAGGGAAAAACGGCTGGTTTTCCCCCACACATAAACATAAGCATAAGCTTACATGATAAGACGCCACAAGATGTTCGTAATCACTTTTTGTCACAACAATTTCTTAAACAAAAGCGATACTTAGCAGCACTTCACTGCGTCTGCGTGTAATGCTTATGCTTATGATTAAGGCCCCTCCCACTAGGATTCTCAAGAGACCAGTTGGACCAGCTGGACACTAGAAGTTGACCTGGGGAGCACCGAGCCGTATCCACACAGTGGCAGCTGGAAGAAAGGTTTGAATCCACCATCCATCTAAATTTTCGAAAATTTAAGATGGCTCTGAACTTCTTCCATAAATGTTTTTTAAAACTTTACAAAACGTTGCATCTTATCATGCTTATCACAATTCAAAAAAATTGGTGGTCACCATTTGCTATATAAAATGTTGTTTACCAAAAATTGTGCATTTGTGTGATACATTATTGACAAAGGAGGCGCCGTGGCCTCATGGTTAGTGCGCTCGTCTCCGGATCGAGCGGTCCGGTTTCGAGACCTGGCCGGAGACATTGCATTGTGTTCTTGGGCAAGACAATTCACTCTCACGGTGACTCTCTCCACCCAGGTGTATAAATGGGCACCGGCGAACTTAACGCTGGGGGTAACCCTACGATGGAATAGCATCCCATCCAGGGAGGAGTAGAAATACTCGTAGTCGCTTCATGCTACAGAAACCGGCCTGGTGGACCACTTGGCTCGTATGCAGACTTTACCTTTTTATTATTGACAAAAAGTGGTAGTATTGATCCATCAAAGTATAAGAGACGGAAAGAGTTGAAAAGTAGCTGATTGCTAGTCGCCCATCAGCAGTGGAAAACAATTATGAGATGGAAAAGCCGACCTTCCTGCCAAACGTTGATGTGTTGTTCAAAGTGTGACAAGGTTAAGCAGTTACCTTCAGTTTATTTGTACGTGTAATAAAACATTTCTGACGCGTCTGGCTGACAAGGTTTGATCCAAAGTGCTAAGTTGTTGCACTTATCTGATTTCGGTTATGGAGTGTTTAATACATTTCTGGCGCGCCTATACGATTCATTGCTAGCTCAGTAGCGTTTTGAATCGGTGAGAGATGTGCGTCTTTGGTTTTCCAAGAAAATTCTATGGTTCTTCATGATCTCCTTTTGAATAAGTACGAAGAATACTTTCAGACCTTTCAGTATTTACAACTGATATTTGTTTCGAGACTGCTTTGTAAACATCTTCACTGCTGGTCCATTCTAGGTATCCCCAGGATATTCTCAGATTACCAAAACAGATCACCCATYGGCATTTAGGAACCTGGGTGAAAAAGGTAAGGTAAGGTCTGCGTCAGGCCTGTGGCCCATACCGCCGAAGCCATGTACCTCGGTGCCTGTAACTCTAAGCGACTAAGAGTATATCTGTTCCCATCTGGAAGGATGTCAGTCCACCGCAGGATTACCCCCAGCTTTAAATTCGGCGGTACTCATTTACCCACCCGGGTGGAGAGAGGCACTGAGAGAATAAAGCATCTTGCTCGAGAACACAACACTAAGACCCCGGTCAGGCCTCGAACCCAGACCGCTTGATTTGGAGTCCAGTGCCCTAGCTATGATTTCACTGCGCCTCCCTTATATACCAGGGTGTTGAGAGTAAAGTGTCTTGACCAAGAATTCAACTGACAATGCACACGACATAAAAATCTTGGCCAGGACTCGAACCGAAAACATGCACTCGATCCAGTGTGAGGTCCGTTTTTGGCTCTATATGAAGCGTCACAAAGTGTCCTAATTGGTTACTAAAAGGTATCTTTCTCTGACAACCACACATACCCAGCTATCATGGTGTAATGAAAGAGGAATCATCACTCATTAATTAATGATGTAATCTTCATTTACTCTCTACGTATTCTCAGCATAACAACATCGCATAATAGCAATCATCAATTTAATTTATTTTAAGCTTCTGAATTAATTTAAATAGGCGAGAGTTATATTCATTTATCGTGGTGAAAACCTTAATAAATTAACGATAATTAATGAGTTACCTTGGAGATTGGCTAAGCCCTAGAAAGCATGTCTCATGGCGCTCAGTTATATAGGAGAACAAGGCAATCGTTTTGCGAAGCAAATGCATTAAGTATAAAAAAATCCTCTTGAAACGTTACTTTAAAAATGTTCGCCGTTGTTTGATTTAAGTAACCATGAAAACATACAATACCATGCCATTGAACATTTTCAGAACAATCAGTTGTGTCATAATTAATAGAGGGGAATGGTTATGAAACCCGGCAAAGTTCTTTGTTGTGTGTTTTTGTTCGGTTTCTTGGTCTTGACCGTGTACAAAACACAACAGTTGTTTATTTCTGGGTGTGAAGCTAACCAAAAGCAACGTTTTGGTTACGTATTCATGCATAGTGTATGAACTTAAAACAAAAGATTGTGCACGGTCGTGGAACTTCCAACTTAAATCTCGGCGTCTTTATTTGCTCCTTCTACGTTTGCCGGGCTTCATATCCATTCCCCTCTATTAACTATGATTGGGTTACTTGTAAAATAAGGTGTCAATGCAGTCTGCAAACCCAGAAATCATGCACTGATGTCAGGTTTGACGACGGATCACTTGTCCTTTTTTTTATCTGAACTACAATATCAAGAACCTGATATAAGTACATATGCATAAAGCTTCGTTCCCAGGGTTTTCCCTTAAAAATTGGGAAAAGCTCTGGGAAGGAGTTTGGTATTCATATATAATGACCAAGAGAATGAAACTGTACCCACGGCCCCGCCTCGCAAGTAAACCTTTAGATATTGTAAGACCTTACTCAGTTAAGATTTTATTTGCACCTATTTGCATCTGATCTAGTTTCAGTTGATTTTCTTTAAGTTTCTCTTCCAGCAGTTTAGCTTTCCTTTGCTTCTCCTCCTTTGCCACTTGAAATTCAAGGTATTTAATAATACGCTGCCTTTCCATGGACCTTGCGAACTCCAACGCCGTTTTTCCTTCCCTGTTTTTCAGGAACACATCAGCTCCCTTGTCAACCAGCAAACGCACCAAATTAAAATGGCCGTTCATGGAGGCAGCCATTAAAACAGTCTTACCGGATTTGTCAATCTTGTTGATATCAGCACCTTTGGTAATGAGGACTTCCGCTACTTCGTCATTTCCAGTTAGGCACGCAACGCGCATTAAGGGTGTCCATCCGTTCACGCTGTCTTCTATGTCGACCGGACCTCCTTTCCGAAGCACCCATAAAAGGAGATCATCGTGCCCTCCGTCTGCTGTCCAGTGTACAGCGGTTAATCCATTTCTGTCACGTGTTTCCCATAAGGCGCCGCGTTCACGGAGTAGCTTGGCTGCGTCTTCTTGGCCAGCATAACAAGCAACCATTAGGGCAGTCTTGCCGCTTGAGTTTGAATACTCAGGGTCAGCATTAAATTCCAGAAGTATTTCCATTACATCTGAATATAAATGAAAAGATCTAGTTAGACTATAAATTTTATACCTCACGGAAATACTAAGAAAGGAAAAAAAGCAAATTAATATCAGAATAAATTATCTCAAGCCTGAGACTAGTGTAAACTTGGCGCCTATCTACTTCTAGACTATCCCAGTTAGTGTGACTTGGATTCTTTTATACCAGTCGTGTAATGAAATCCCTTATTAACCAAGCTTACCCCCACACTGGGAGAACATCGACCCCTGGTCTTTTCTTTACGGACCTCACAGTACTTGGTCCGTTCTGTCAAGATTTCGGGCCAATATTCTCCCAGTGCGGACCTCGAGCTCAGGCTAATAAGATGTATATAATCTGTGTGACTCCAACTCGCAAGGCAAATGCTAGAAAAAGAGACTGCTCTCGCAAGCTACCTCATTCACGCTTGTGCTCGAGTTTAGACGCGTTCTTAAATACCAACCAGCTAGATATTTAAAAACGTAAATAAAAAAATGGAAACACAGTTATCAAAAGCACTTCTTCCGCACGTCTAACGCAAAGGACGATGTTGCGATAAACTTTTCTAATTTGCATCAGAATGCAATCCAACGTAAATACGAGGCAATTTCGGGCAGAAACTACAAACTGCCTCTGATGCAAATTGGATTTTACTGCACTTTTTCCGCCTACTTTGTTATTTTGCTCTCACGCGCTCCTCGACGGCTACTCGTGCTCAAGAGTGATAACGAGCATGCGCATGAAGCGTGATTGAAGCTGTCTGGCGGAGCTTTTCTTCCCTTTCCCATGTTTCTTGCGCTGTCTGCAAGATTGCATATTGGACGCGAGAGACTGGGGACGGTCATAATTGCATACGACTTTTTCAAGTGGCAGCAGCCATGTCGAGGTTCTCTTTGTCCATTTTAACAAAACTCGTCGCATTAAGCCTGGTTTTTACTAGACGCAAACACAAGTGCAGGCACAAGCAAAAACGCAAGCAATAGGGATGACCCAAGTAAAAACGAAGTTCGACGCAAAGCACAAGCAAAATCATCCTAACCTTCCAAACCGTTTAGGCGCGTGGTAATCTGGATCCAGCGTTTTCATTGGCCAAACATAACCACGCTGGTAAATATCCTTGTGCTTGTGTTATGCCTGAGCGGTATTTCGTTTTCACTTGTCGCAGCGTGAACGCAAGCACAAGTGGAAGCACAAAAAAAGTGAAAATATTTTATCCTTGAGCTTGTGCTTGCAATTGCACTAATGCCTGCGTCAAGGCCGTTTTCACGGTGAAATAAGAATTATTGTGTTTGCGCTTGTGCTTGCGTCGCTCGTGAAGAGCAGGCTTAAGAGGCTTAATTTAAACTGATTAGGGATTTTTTTCGAGAACAGGTCAGGTGAATCATATTGTACTAACAGCTCCCAAGAGAGTCCATAATTAGTGTTTTCGATGACGTTACTCTTCTTTTCAGCTGACCTTTGCAATTACGTGACGCCTTTCCTTTTGTTTGACTTTACCAAACGCCTTCAGAATTTATAATGACATGATATGGATTCCCTAGCCTCCGTAGTCTGGTAAACATCTTGTTGTGTGTCATTCGGGGTATTCAGTTTCAAATTCATTTCTGATATTCCGTCGTGTTTCGCTTGATTTAAGGCAGAAATCGAAGTCTAAAAATGACTTTAAAATGGATCTTAGGCACAACACACCAAGTATACTACTAAGACTACTAATGAAGTAAATAAGTTTCGAAATTTGCATGTCGCGACCACCGCAGTTAAATAAAACTTGACAGACTTCAATTAAAGTAAAAAAATGATCAAAAACATGTCGGGCTGGATTAAATTTAGCCCACGAAGCTGACATTTGAGGTCAACAAATCACATTTTTGTGAAAGATTTTTCGTTGTTGGGATACCCCCCAATTTTCCATGACATTATCAGCACGAAGCTGTAATATCTATCTTGTTTTATTTGAGAAAATAGTAGGGAAATACTGCATTAGAGCTGTTAAAAGAAAACCTGCTGTTTCGTTTAATTTTAGATATTCAGTTTCGCGATGTTGTTAAAAATAGAATAGCAGCGCATAAATGTTACTATTTAGGGTCTGAAAGCTTCTCGCTATGCAAATTCAAAATCCCGGTTCCAATAGCAAACAATAGGTTTCCTTTATGAACTAACAATGTTTCTTTCCGGTCCACACTTTCAAAAAAGAAATTACACAAAATGAGGCAGATGGTGTGCTGTTGTCATTTTAATGAGAGTTCGGCCATATTTAGCTTTGTCTCAAAAGATTCTGAATCAACGCAATAAGAACCATCTAAATTACGCTTATTTCCTCTTTTTTTTGACGATTTGAAGAACAAGACAAAACCAGCAGACAGAAGACCCTTAAATAGAATGGTTCGCCAACTTTTATACAGCGAGTTTTTTTACACACAGTTTCCTAATAAAACTCGTTCAAAATAAAGCCCTGTAGCATTAATCCAATACAAGATCGATCAATTCATTTGTTATTCCGATAAAAGGGGTAGACGAAACAGCGGAAATTTACGTTTTGAACAAAGGCATGTAGAAAATTTCAGGTTTCAATTCCTGGTACAATGCCCTGGGGACGATTTTTCGCATTGCATCGAAATTCACTAATTAACTAGGTTCTTAAAGATTTAAGGATCCAATTTATCAATAAAACCTTCTAGAAGCTTTCTTGTTTTGTTCAAACATGGTATTATATCAGTAGAGTGCAGCTTACTGTCATGTTGCAAACATCTTTAAAAGAAGTAAGGCAAAGTAGAATTAGAAAAATATCTCACTGGGATCAAATCTCCTTGTTTGATTCATGAGTCAGCAAGTGAACCACATTCAAGTGCAAATAGCATTTTCGCCATTGACTTTGCACACATAGATGGCGTGGAATGCACTGAAATTTGCATACATGCTCAAAACATGATTTGGAAAAAATTGACCCAAATCCTGTCTTTACTATCGGCAAGTATTACTCACTTACCTGTAAAGCCTTTTTGAGCCGCCACCATTAGCGGCGTCAATCCAAACTTATCCATCACCTCGACAACAGCGCTATGTTCTTCCAGAATATGCCGAACCTTTTCCAAATCTTGCCTGGAGACCGCCTTGTGGAGCTCGGCTCCAGACGGCGGTTCGTTTGCTGTGCAGACAGTGATCGGTTCGCTCCATCCGCTACTTCCTTGGCGATCGCTCTCGCCGTCCATTATCCGCAGCCGACATAAATATTGAGTTATGGGCTCTAAGCCCTTGAACACATATTGTTGGCTGTAGCCCTGGTAGTTGGTGAGCGGATCAAGCATCGGCCCGCCTGGACAAGGGCTTCTTGCGCGAGCCCTGTTCAACTGCACGTGAAACAGTTTTCGCTTCTTGTTGTTGTTGTCGTTTTCGGGGTCTTCCCATTTCAGTTCAATGCTGTTATAATTTACTTCGCCCACCGTTAGCTCGGGCAGAGACATTTCAGTCGTTGAACAAACTCCGCGACGATTCCCTCTGCTATCTAACGCCTTTGATTGCTCCAGTGATTCAGGCAGCTCTCACCTGAGCTATTGAGTTCAAGAACTGTTAACTTGACAACGTTGACACGTAAAGATCTGCTTCTTAGCCACTGAAATGAATACTAATATGCGAAGTCGTCCATCACGCGCGCGATCACAACACGTAAGCTCCTTTACGCTCCTGGTCTACAGACCATAAATTAACACGAGTTAAACTGTGCAATATATATTGACATAAAATTCATCATCTGTACGGGGGGTATTAATTGTTCAATCTGCCGTCGCTAACTGAAATCTTCGCATTTCCAGCACGCTCTGCTCACGACGCCCTGAGGGATTTACAACTTTATCATAAATAATTCAAGTTCCCGTTCCGTGATTATTTCTCGATCCACAAACCAGCGAACACAAATACTTGAATAAAGATTAAATTTGTTTGAATTTACAGCAATTGTATCTAACGATTCGCCAGAACCCAAGGTTAAAATATACAAAACTTGTTAATTATTAACTTCTTTTAGAAATGACGATAAAAGGGTTCAGTTTATATTCAAGTTTATTGTCGTAATGAAAACGGCAAGGGTCTTCAAAAACACCGTTATTGTTGCGGCTGTAACCAACGAGCCAATATAATATTAAATAAACCTAAAAATAGGGTATTTGCGTCATAACTCAGGGTTCTAGAAGAGCTAGGAGTTACTGTCCGTGCAGTGACTTTGTTTTAACTTAGTATAAAGGAGAATCAGGTAAAGCTTCATTGATGCTCAGGTCTAGCACGTTTGTATGATTTTTGCTTGCCAGCTTAGCACGTATGCTGACAAAAAAGGTGTAATATTTTCGTCCACAGGCCACATTCAGTCCTGGAGTTCGTTAAAGTGTCTGGATTTATCAGTTAATGAGATCAACGATTATTCAAATGAAAGCTATTGGGCAGGATAATTGCGTGTGGTTCTTTTGTTTCTCGATAGTTTGCAAAAAGGAAATTTGTGAATCAATTTAAAAGACTAGGGGCTTGAAACTGACTCTCCTTGGAGAGTAAAATCGTTATGACTTTTCTGGCCAGCGGATGCAGAAAGATTTTCTCGCGTTCGTTTGCTCGAGCGAAAATCTGTCTGCGTTATATGGTCATGAGTTTATTTATAAATTATTTGTCTCCTTTCCTTTACAATTAAGCACGAACTGCTGAAAGCATGTCTACTCTGACCTTTTAGTCCTCCAGGTCTATTTCGGTTTCAAACAGCTGGCCTGTAAAAACATTACCCATAAATCAATGCGTAACCAGGCCTTCTCTGTCTTTCATATCCAAGATAGCGGTTAGTCGGAGCAACTATCGTAATACCGAGTGAATCTTCTCATTTGCTCAACGTGCTTGTCTGAGCTATGGCGAGTAGAGAGAGACTGGATCATATTCTCACGAGCTAAAGTTTTGTCAACAACTCACAATAAGGTTACAAGAAAACTAAAAGATTAGCTTTGCAGACGGATTTATCTGTCTGTGGTTGGAGACTAGTGTTACATACGATTATAAGGTCTTATAAGGAGTACGTGAGCATCCAAGCGAATACGGTTTCATCAAGTGCATGGAATTTAAAGATTGAAACTGCCCTAGTATGTTGTGTGACGGATTGGTTCAAACTGCCGACGTTTCTTTATGGCGGTCACATTGGTGAAAAAGTTACAATCATACGATTTTTCTTGCTTTCTTGCTATTTTTCCGCCAGTCCTTGGATCAGTGTTCAGTAGCGGACCTTTATCACTTAGCAGAGGTGAACTCTTTTTGACACAGCAGTTTTCTTTAACAAACCTCCACATTGCATTTTACTTTGCTCTGTGGAAATAAAAAACTTCTTGAAACTTGAAATCCTCTTGGGGATATTTTTCCTTGTTCATGGTCCGACATATAGCCTTATTTCTTTGTCAGTTAAGTCACAAACCAGCTATACTAGTACTTGGAACTACTTAATTCTGAGCAACAGCCAATCGCATCCACCGCCAGCAGCAGAAGGTACGTGGCGTTTGCGTGCGGACTGGGCTGAGCTGACAAACTGAGATGACCCATGCAAACCCTAATTAAGATTCTCTCTTACATTGTGCATAAAAAATTAGATTACTGGTTATCAACATGAAAAGCAGTTTAATAAGTGTTGCATAATAGGTTCGTGTATTTCCTAACTGCACCAGCAACTTACAATTCCTCTTTATATCATTCTTTTCCCTTAAAAGCGGAAAATTGCGCCATCTTTTCCACCAGTAAAGCGATCATATCTTCGTCACCTTTTTCTATCGCGATATGAAAAGGAATGTACTTCTCGATCGTTTCAGCGTACAGATCAGCTCCCTTGTGAATCAACAAGCGAACGAGTTCCACATGACCGCCAAGCACAGCCGCGTGCAGGGCCGTCCAATCCTCGTTATCCACAGTGTTAATTTTCGCGCCACAGTCTAACAATGCTCTCACACATTCTAGTCTCCCTTCGAAAGCCGCTTCGTGAATCAAAGGAACGCCACTTTTGTTCATTTCGCTGACCTTGATCCCTTCCTCCTGTACAATTCGAGGTATCTCGTCTGCTTTGTTGGTCATTACCGCCTCCCTGAGCGCGCAACTGTAGCTACTGTGTCGTTCCGATCTGTACTTCAATTTCAGTTTATTCACACACATTTTTTCCGCGCTTTTCGTGACTTCTGAGTTGCCTGAACTCGCTCCATCCTCCCAGAAATCGATTTTTATTTTGGGCGTTTGCCTCTTTGTTGCCATTTAATCTATTGTAGGTTTCCAGCCTTGCTCTAATTGACCGTTGACGCTCAAAGCGAATCCGACTATTCTTTTTTTGATAAGGAATCCTGTACTTTCTTGCAAAAAGCTCGCGTGGGGTCTGTTTTCATCCGCTCGCGATCGGAGAAGAAAACACCCGTTTGTTTACACCAATTTACCCTCCGTGCGCTTTAGATTCTTGTCTCGGAAGAAGTAAGCTCACTGACTTTTAATAACAACTGTACTTTTGACGTGTATCAGACAATGGCACGTTCTCATGGGAGAGATTACCGGAGCGAGCTGTTTAGTATTCGACTAATTTTATGCAACTTTAAAAGCAAACAAAGTGTTTGCTTTTAAAATGCGAGAACTCATCTAAACCTAGTGATAATTTTTGGGCATTCTAGTCACGAAAAAGTTGGGTTTTTTGCCTGTTTTCGTGGTAGAATCTAAGATCCGAAGTGACGTGCATGTTGCTTTAAAGCCTTAATGAAATAACGGGCCTTAGCTAAGCCAGTTAATACTGCTTTTGTTCAGGCGTCGCGGCGTTAATTATGCGACATGAAAGAAAAATCTGTAAATTACGGCCATTTAATCGTTTAAACAAACAAAACCCTTCTTACGCCGAAAAAGAAAATATTGCTTCCGGAAGCATACTGCCTGAGAATGGTAATTAAAATAATTATCTCGATCGAATTGTGTTAGACATGATGATACTCAGGATGTTTTCAAAAGCATGAATTTGTCTTGCTCAGAGCATAAACCTAATCCTCTTTAATGAAAAGAAAAATTAGAACAGTCCTAACAATACTGACTACTGACGTGTTTTTCCCCGAGGGGGGGGGGGCACTCCCTTATATGGGCTATATAGGTATGTGCGGCTACAAGGGGTATGGTTTTCGAGCGGTTTTGGTCTTAAAAAGGGTATAGATTTTGATCATTTTCACTCTGGCTTTTCACTCATTGGACACTTTGTTTACAAGGAATTATTTTTTCCGCGTCAACATTGGCAAATGTGTAGCTCTTATAAAATGTTTATTCAAATGAAGCCAATTCTGGCTAGGGCGGTCATATATTAGAGCCGAATACTAATTTTAGAGGTCTGCAATGGGGTATCGGCGATTTTTCGCTCAGGTTTGAGAGAGGGTATGGAAAATCACAGATTTTGGTCTGAAATAAGGTGCAGGTTTACAAGCTCGTGCCGCAAACCCTCACCAAAAGCTTTGCGAAGTACCTCCCCCTGCCTCCCTCACCCGGGAGAGTTTAAGTACTGTCATAAAAAATGGTACAGTGCATTGAAAGGTGTCGCACAACTTTATTATTTATTTAGAATGTGTGGCTCAGTGGATTGCAGTGCAATTCACTGAGAAACGATAAGAAGTAAAATCGAACTCCCCGGCGCGTTTGGAGATGAAGACCCTGTTACATTGGCATCAGCAAGTGTCACTAAAAAAATGTCCACTATCATCACCAAAATCACGATCGGAGAAAAAATAATCAATCAACGTCAAATTATTCTGAAAACAGTTTCCACTCTTCCTTTACATTGCACTCGTACAATCCAAACTTACAAGTATCCTGCAATGCTGCCAGGCATAACATACAAACTATGCAAAGGTCGGGTCTGCGTGAAGGTCAATTACAAAAGTAACAATGTTTCGGCTAAGATGATCACTCCCTGATTATCGGAAATTCTCTTTCCTAATTTCCATGTTATATTGCCAGCTGTCACTAAATATACAAATAAATTGTATAAAAAGATCCTACAGAGCAAAATAGAACAAACAGGAACGTAGCTAGTCTTTAAGCCATTAAGCACGGACTTAACAAGAATTTCTATAAATAATTTCTTTAGTAGCCGAAAGGCCATATTTTCTTTTTCTAACTATTCAATTACGAATCACCGCTATATCAACGTTTCATTTTGAAAAACAAAACAATGACTTTCAATCTTATACATAAAAAAATACTGAAAGGTTATTAACAAAGCAGAACTTTGAAATAGTTTTGCGCACGAAAATTTAGTTGACTGTTGTTTTTGTTTTTGTTTTTGTTTTTGTTTTTTTGGACGTTGGCAAAATTTGAAATACGACTTACGCTGTATAATTGGGGCTTAAATGGAAAAAATGGCTGGCTACGCCCCTGACATAAATTTTGACTGAGAAGTACAGGATTACAAAGATGGAAGTGAATTACAGATCATGAAATTTGTATTTTTTAATTTTTATTGCAAGTTGACAAAATAAAGTGAGTTTGTAGCAGTCTCCCCAGCTATACCTATTAAAATGCGATATCAGTCCCCTGCGGCACCCAGCGGATCTTTTCGGTAAATGATCTTTTCCGAATTGAAGGCCCTTTAATCCCTCTGATTTTCCTAAGTTAATTGTCACCTGGAACTTTTGTGATGTTTGTTGTTTTCGGATTGATGAAATTGTTGATTAGGTACCAAAAAAGAGGTCAGCTATGATTCTCGGAAAGACAATAAGACATAAGGTTTTCGGTAAATGGACAAAACTGCCTTATTTAAGGTTTCCACAGTAAATTAATGCTGACGACGATTATCAACCAGGCGATACAGGAAGGGAAAACGCTGCAAAAAAACGGTAGCGTTACGTAAGCACATCACTGAAAAAAGCACCGTTTCAAAAAAGCCTTAGTGTGGAAGGGGCCTTATTTAATGAGTTTTTTAGTATTCTTCGTATGTTTAGGCGCTTCAATCGAACGGTTTTAGAACGGATATCAACCGGTCGATGTTTTGCAGGAAGGAAAACGGCGTTGAGCTATTGAAAGTCCGAGAATCTAGGCAATCACATCATGTGTGGGAGGCGCGGTGGCCTCATGGTTAGTGTACTCGTCTCCGGATCGAGCGGTCCGGGTTCGAGCCCTGGCCGGTGACGTTGTGTTGTGTTCTTGGGCAAGACACTTTACTCTCACAGTACCTCTCTC